TATTGCATTCTTCTTCCAATAAAGACATGATAAAAATGTTTGAGGTTGTATATTATGAGATACTGGGTTTCATTACTAAGGAGGATGTAGAATCTCCCACCTTCCTTAGGAACATTTTACTGATGGGAACACTGAAGCTTAGTTAAGAGCTCCTATGCAAAACCCACTGTGTTCTTTCCCCATATGTCTCTTACTATACCATCTTGCCTTTCCACCTGCTCCTACACCAGTGGCCTTAGATGTTGGTCTCATGCCCCATGAACTCCAAGGCAGGGGCTTGAGACTCTTAAGAAAGGGGTTTAGGATCAGTACTTACCACCTGGACACATTCCATGAGGGGCAGGCGCACAGCTTGGTTACCAGAGAGGCTCACTACACAGGCTGGGGTATCTGGGGTCCCCTCCAAAAGTGCCATCACTGCTTCCACACCCATTCTGCTGCCCTGCAGGAGTCCAGAGAACAAAGACAGTCTGGCTCAGGCTGCCTCATCTTGGCTCAGCCTAGAGAGTCAGGATACTTGAGGCCTTTTCCAAATCACAAGATTGAGTCTCACAATTAAGAACTGCAGCAAAGAACTTACTGGGCTTTACCTCCCCAAACAGATTCCATCTAAAGCTTGATGACTCTGTATTCTTGCCATCAGAACCTCAAGGATTCTACTTAGTTCTAGAGAAACATGCCCACTACAGTAACCAACAGGATTACTGGGGCTTAATAATGTTCCCTTGTTATTGACAAAACAAGGTAGGAGATTGCTTTGCTCTTCCAATGAAAATAGGATAAGAGGGTTTAAACTGAGTGTCTAAGGTTGGGATTACATGCCCGTAATTCCAGTATTTTGGGAGGCAGAGGCAGGCAGATCACCTGAGGTCAGGAATTCAAGACCAGCCTGGCCAACATGGTGGAACCCCGTCTCTATTAAAAATACAAAAAGTTAGCCAGGTATGGTGGCATGTGCCTGTAATCCCAGCTACTCAGGAAGCTGAGGTAGGAGAATCCCTTGAACCCGGGAGGTGGAAATTGCAGTGAGCCAAGATTGTGCCGCTGCACTCTAGTCTGGGTGATAGAGCAAGACTCCATCTCTAAACAACAAAAAAAAGACTGGTCCCGGTGGCTCATGCCTGTAATCCCAACGTTTTGGGAGGCCGAGGCAGGCAGATCACAAGGTCAGGAGTTCAAGACCTCCTGGCCAACATGGTGAAACCCCATCTCTACTAAAAATTTAAAAAATTAGCCAGGTGTGGTGGCAGGCACCTGCAATCCCAGCTACTTGGGAGGCTGAGGCAGGAGAATCCCTTGAACCCAGGAGAGAATCCCTCCACCAGGAGGTGGAGGTTGCAGTGAGCTGAGACCATGCCACTGCACTCCAGCCTGGGGAACAGAGCAAGACTCCATTTCCAAAAAAAAAAAAAAAAGAAAAGAAATACCACTATATACCTATCAGAATGGTTAAAATTTAAAAAAATTTAAAAATAAAAAAGTGACAACCCCCAAATGCTGATAAGGATGCAAACAAAACAGGTTGTTCATAAATTGCTGACGGAAATTAAAATGGTACAGCTATTCTAGAAACAGTTGGGCAGTATCTTTGAAAAAAAAATTTTTTTAAGAAACAAAAAAACTACCATACAACCCAATTGAACTCCTGGGCAATTACTCTGCAGAAATGAAAATTTAAGTTCACACAAAAAGCTGTACACAAATGTTCATAGTTGCTTTATCCCTAATAGCCAAAAATTGAAAACAACTCAAATGTCTGAATGATTAAACAAACTGTCATACGTCCACTCCATGGAGTACTGCTCTGTAGAAAACTGCAAACTATAGAAACAAACAACACCTTTGATAAATATCTAGAGAATTATGCTGAGTGGAAAAAAAAAATCCTAAAGGGTTGCATATTATGCAATTCCATTTATATAATATACATGAGATTAAAAATTACAGACAAAGAGACAGATTAGTGGTTGCCAGAGTTTAAGAATGAGGAGGGATGGGTGGGGGTAAAGTACATGTGGCTGTAAAAGGACAACATGAGACATCCTGTGGTAATAGAAATGTTCTGTAGCTTGACAATATCAATGTCAATATCCTGGTGATGATATTGTACTACAATTTTGCAAGATGTTACCATTGAAGGAAACTGGGCAAAGGGTATGTGGGACTATCTCTGTATTATTCTGTACAATTGAATGTGAATCTACCATTATTTCAAAATTCTTATTAAAAATATACGAAACAAAACAAAACAAAAAGATATTGCTCCTCACCATTAGGAAGGCAAAGTCTCTCATCATTTTTGTAACAGAAGAGGACCCTCAAGTGTATGGGAATGGGTCAGTGACCAATGCAGCCCAAAGGCTGGTGGAGAGGCAACACAACCAGTGGTGTAAGTCCCTATCTGGTGAAGTGCAGCCCTGAGGAGGAAGGACTACAAGGTTGAGGGTTTTAAGGCATGAAGGCCACAGAGCCCAGTGACTTACCAGAATTCTGTCAAAGGCCGATGGCGTCCCACCCCTCTGCACATGCCCCAAGACAGTAACCCGGGTGTCATATCCCAGACGCTTTACCACCAGCTGAAGAGACCAAGAGAGGGACAGAGAGAGGGTTACGCAGAGTCAAAGAAAGAAAACAAGCAGAGACTTGGGTGAACCGTGGACAGCTCAGCCTCTTGTCTTGTAATGGTTCTTTGTGGGAGGCAACCAGGGGCAGGGACCCAGGGAGTGATGTGCAGAAGGACCAAGGGGAGAAGCAGTGTCAGGAGACTCAGAAGCCAGAAGGGAATGGGCTATGGAGTCTAAGGCCTATCTGGTTTCATTCATACGAACATTCTTGATGTCTTCTGAGGTGATTGGTTTTCCATTCCTGTCAATTGCACCCTCAGCCACAATGATGATGTTGAGACGAGAACCACGAGTCCTTGTCTGGTTGAGAACAAAGGGTAAAATGATCAATGGAATGAAGCTGATGGGTAGGAAACAGATCATCAGTGGAACAGGGTGAGGGATTTCTTAAGGGCAAAATAAAGTGCCAGTACCTCGCTGAGTCGGCGACAAAGGTGCTCCTCCCAGTCGTCATCTGGTGGACATTCAGGAATAAAAACCCAGTCGGCCCCACAGGACAGAGAGGTGACAAGGGCCAGGTATCTGAGACGAGGGCCAGAAGCATCCTGCTAGAAGTTGTATTCTACAAATAGCCTCATCCATACCCAACAAGTTCTCCTAGTTCTCATAGTTGATAAAAGGTCTGGAGAGCCTCCATTTTATTCTTGGGGCAAGTGTAAGAGCACCAGGGCCCCTCAATGAGATTCTGTCTCTAACGGACACCTTCCACTTATGTTCACCTGCCACAGTGGCTTCCAGCCTCAGAGCACTGCCCACTCTTTACACCAAGCATGTGCCTGAGCATGTACACACATGCATGTGTGGGGATGTAATGGAGAGGGATGGAGGCAGGAAAGGGAACCACACCACAAGGAGCATGTGCACCTCCAGATCTGCTGCTACTGAGAGACCTCACTGGACTACCTGGGGAAAAGGAAAGGGCTATTGCTAGGTCCACAGAATAAATGGGTCAGAATGAGGATCTTACCCACAGTGGCGGCCCATCACTTCTAACACAAATGTCCTCTGGTGGCTGCAAGAGATACACATAGGACACAGTCCAAGAGACCGTATGGCCAAGATCAAGCCACCACCCACATCTAGGCCAGTTACCCTCTCTGGGAGATACATGTATGCTGCCAGGCCTTCTAGCAGACTTCCTGAGACCAGGAAGACCTAGGGGAAATACTTTAGCCACAAGGTATCCTTCCCAGGCCTGAGAAAACACAGCAGTAAAAGGTATCTATACAGAGGTTCTGTTCCAGAGAGGAACCGGGTCAGGGAAGGAAAGGAGAGAAAAGGATAAGAAGTGAAGGGAGGACTGGACTAACTGGAATCCTCTAGGATTACCCTGGGGTAAGCGATTACCCTTCTATCCTCCCATCCTACATTGCCTCCCTCCAGGTCCTCTTCTCTCTGAGCCATGGTGGTCATAGCAGCACTTATACTTTCTATGATATGGTGGGAAAGTGTAGCTCATGTCTGGGCTCCCTAGATTTGCCCAGTCTGAAGAATAACCATTTAGCCCAAAGATATGAAAGACCTCAGAGCTGCATATTTGGACAGTGGGCCAGACAGTGGCAAAAGGCAAATCATATATCATTAAGGGAGCAGTGCAATTTCAGTGCTCTAGATAATTTTTAGTTAAAAATAGTGTTCTAGCCCCAGAAAACTGGTCATTATAGTCACCATAGCTCAAACACTTCAGTCTTCAGCAGCCTCTAGCCCTTTAGCCTGTCCTAGCTGCCATCTTCTCACACTGCCTACCTCCCAAGTCCCCTTACCTCTGGGCAGTGGTAGTGATGGCATCTACAATTTCTATGATCCGGTGCAGGGCAGAGTCAGTGCCAATGGTCATATCGGTGCCACAGAAGTCATTGTCAATTGACCCAACCAGGCCCACAATGTTCAGGTAGCTGGACTTCGTAGCCTCCTCATCTGTGATCTTACCTGACAATGAGAAGCAAACCAGGAGCCACTGGGTGAGGTACCTGGCATGCCTAAAGAGGAGATATCTAGAGAGAGAAGAAACTCTAGCCAAAAGGAATTGTAGACAATATCAGAAAAAGGGGGCAAAGACTGCCTATTTGTGTCTGGGTAACATTTTTCTCCAATGGGAGGTAAAAGGGGGGCAGGGGTGATGTGTGTGTGTACACGCGTGCACATACCCACACAAATAAGCAATACTATTGTGAAAAATCTCTTACCTGCTTTCTGGAGGTCACCCAACAAGTCACTCCACTCAGAACGGAAGGTGTCAGCCCCAGTGAGGCTGCCATCACCCCCAATGACACAGAGATTGGTGATCCCACGCTTCACCAGGTTGTAGGCAGCTCGGAGTCGTCCTTCTCGTTCCCGAAAGTCCTTGCACCGGGCACTTCCAATCACCGTGCCTCCCTTTGGAACAGGTAGAAGTCAGCTCTCCAGAGACAGGGCTCAACATGCTGAGATATCCCCTATTCCAACGCTGTGATGGCCTAACATAACTGTGTGAGTCCCTAGAAAGTTCCTTGACATCCTTAAGAGTGATCTGTCCTTTCCAAAGTAAAGGGAAATGATGCTGGCTGAGGCATCATAGGGTCATTCTCATATTTTGCTATACATCTTAGAAGACTGCTAAGAACCCATTTCATTGAAGGTTTTGTCATCTGTGACTATCCTAAAAAGAAAAAGTGAATACACACATATCTGTTGGCTTCTCAAATAATCTCCAACTTTCACATCTTAGAAGCAGTGACTTCAGTCTTTAGAAATTCTCCCTAATGGCCTGATATTAAATTATTATTAGGAGTTCATCCCAATGTGTTTTGTAGTATTTTTCCTCTCTCTACACTGAGATTTCTAACTGTACCCAGGTACTGCCAATCCTTTCCCCTCAGCTCCTTGCAATCCATGGTGCCAGTAGCAGAAGCTGCAATATCCAGGTATTCACAGGAAAAATAGCTCTGGGTAAAGAAAGCCTTACAGATACCCCAAGAGAGGTATCTGTAAGTCCCTGGGAAATTAAGGCTTTCTATCCCTGATTAGGTTTTCATATCTTATGCCCTCCTGTGCAGCCATGACTTTGGGATACTGGTGGAGAATTCTGGTTCATTCTCAGACCACTTTATGGCAGGCACCATTACCTAGCACCTAGGTAGAGCCTTCACTAGATACTGCATATTAAATTTTTGCCCATGGATTTTTAGGGAACTGAGCTGAAAAAAGGGGGATACAAATGTAATTTACAAATTTTCAGTAAACCAGCAAATGATTGTATTTCTCTCACTCGCTGTAGGCTAGCCCACAGTGGATACACATGAGAAGCCTAACACAACATGGAGCAAGTAGCATAAAGGACTGTGGAAATCCTCAGGATATTCTTAGGATTTTTTTGAGACTCCAAAAGTCTGTCTCAGTTCCTTCGTCCTTTAAGTGGTCTGGTTTCAGGTCACCTCATCTCCATCACATGAGGACTGGCAAATTTCAGCTCCACTTCTGGCTCTGGCTCCAGTCCTCTGGTAAGGTTATTTTCAGGGCCAGACCTTCCCCGTGACCCTAGAGTAAGACCTGCTTATGTGTCAGTCCCCATAGTCTTGTTTATGACCTTTCCATAAAGAGCAAAGCATCCTGTGATCACTCCTCCACCCTCTCCCTGCCCCAGGAAACCAGTGTGATATTTTCAAATGCTAAGAGTAAAGGGCAAATAGGGTCCCTCTCTTGTCACTGAATTCCTTCCCATGAAACCACATGACAGGGAATTTGGGAGACCATGAGCCCAAACCAGAGTGGGATGAAACAAGGACAGAGCAAATATGGGACAGGGAGTTCTCTGGAACAACATACCAGCTGAAGCATCATCGAAACGCTCTCCCAGGTGGCTTCCTTGATGTTATCTCCACCATCCACCAGGCCTTGATAACCCTGTGGGACATATTATAACTGTTAAGCCCTTGACAGGCTTCTCCATAAATTCCCAGGATTAAGACAGGGTCCCTGGGAAGAGGTTCTCTGAGAGTCAAGCCACCTCCTCCCACTAGTGAGTCCTGGATGCTCGTGAGACTATATTTAACACAGTCCAAAGAAGGAGACGTCAACTTTTGCAATACTCTCTTCTAGTTTCTCCCATTCTTTAAATATCGGGATGTGGATATCCTTCCAAATAATCTTAATTCTTATTTTTGGCTCACCCTATCTCCTCCAACCTGCTTCACAGGGGACCAATGATAACAGATGGTCTTGATAACCATGGAGAAAAGGAGAAGGGGAAGTTGGTGGGAGGGAAGGAAAGAAATGTGACTTGCTCTAAGAGACTATACAATCTGATAGAAGAAAGCGGGTGGACCTTATACAAAGAAGAGTGGGTAAAGCATGAGAGAGTACTGGGAGAAGGGTGCAAAAGAAGAGTGAGAACCTCAGGAAGTTATGCAAACTACAGAAATACAGCAAGGCTCTTCCCTCCTGGGGCTCTTCCCCTGGATATACTAAATTTGCTATAAATACTACCCATTTCCATTTCTTTCTCTGTTTTGAGGGAGATGAAAGAAGAACTGAGAGTTACTTTTTCCTTTAAATTGAACAGGCAACATGAAGACCCAGTTTGTAGATGCCCGGGTCCCACCATCCCTATTGAGTCAAGAGTAGGAAAGAGTGACTCATGAAGATAGGGAGCCAAGGAAAATCAAACATAGCAATGTAACTAACTGGGAGGTAAGGACACAGAACGTGGGAAGGGGATAGAAGGCAGATTTAGAAGAGGGCAGAGAAAGAATGATGAAGAACAAAGTACAGAACTAACCTCATGGACAAAGAAGACACGGGCACCGGTGAAAATACCAACTCGAACCACAGCCCTGACAGCAGCATTCATACCTGAAAGGAGGGACAAAAGAAGTCATGGAGGGGTTGCTCCTAAGAAAAGGTGCCCTGGAATCCACATATATTACATTTGGCTAAAAAAAATGAATCAGTACTTTACTTAGTCTTTTCTCTGAATCTAGAATAATCCTCTCATCAAAGTCTTCTGACCTCCCCATTCCCAATTACTGCAGTCAATGTTACCGGAGCTTCAGATAATCTGCATTCATTGCTCCTCAAGCCCCGCAAAAATCCTGCCTTTCCCAAGACCTTTCCTTGATAGGACCATCTGGGAAATAATAACAACTAGAATAAAGCATTTTCCTGAATGTGTATTGTGGGCTAGACACTGCCAAGAGCTTGTCAAACATCATCTCATTTAATCCTGTCCACAATCCTGGAATTGTCTCCATTTTAAAGATTTGGAAACTGAAACTCAAAAAGGTCAAGGGGCACAAAGCTAGTACTTTTAGAAAGTTCAGATTAGAATTCAAGTTCTCAAATGCCTAAGTTAACACTATCAGCCTCTAAGGTTTGTCCTACTAATCTCAATGGCTGTACTAGGTTTTTCCTTGCTTTCTGCACTATATCGAGACATCAGCTTTTAGTAGGCATTTAAGAACAAGGACATGACTCTATATGGTTCAGTAACCTGGCAAGTCACAGTCTATTCACAAGTTCACAAGTATATCTGTTACTGGACAGCTGATTCTCTCAGTCTACACACACACACACACACACACACACACACACACACAAATATACCCCTTTTTTGTGTCACTTGAGTTGGTCTATGTTCCAATGTGTGCCACACAGTTGTGATTCACTAGTTCCCACATTGCCAGAAGAGGCTGTGACCAAGTGTGCAGGAAGAATTGGTGGGGACTCTATTCTCTCACTGCCTTCTCCTGGCATTTCCTCAATTAGTCAACGAATATTTGTCAGTCTCTTCCTGTGGCCCTGTATATAAGATGTTTATGGGGAACTCAAAAAGTATGCTGTAAATCATTCTCTCTCTGCTTCTACTGGAAGAAAAACTTAGGACTAGGACTGGGCACGGTAACTCATGCCTGTAATCCCAGTACTTGGGAGGTCAGCTGGGAAGATTGCTTGAGCCTAGGAGTTCGAGACCAGCCTGGGCAACATAGCAAGACTCCATCTGTAAAAAAAATAAATAAAATTCAAACAAAACAAAACAAAAGCTTAGGACTAAAATACAGAGGCAATCCTTTTCCCTTTTTCACAGATGAGTATTATCCCTCTCCTAGTAGTTTTTCAGTGAAAATAACTCTCTTCCAGGAGCACTGTGAAAAAACCAGCCCTTCCCAACACACAGCAGGTGTCCCATATGTGTGTTTCATATTAGGAACAATGCACTGATCCTGTGCTAAGCATGGCCTTATTGGTGACAGATGGGAGACATTCCTTTCCTACCATGTAATGTGAGGAGGAGCACATGGTGATGCACAAGGAATCTTACAGCCATGATGGGTCAACTTCTTGTGAATCATTTTAGCTACCCTCTCTTAGATATTCTACTACATATTTTTGTTTCAATCTAAAATCTGTTCATGTTGTCCTTAACCCTGCCTGGAGAAATGTAATATACCAGCAAGCACCAAGAGAGCTAGTAATCGGGAAAACCTGCAGCACCAAACTAAAAACCATCACAAACTTTTGAATAATCCAAAGCTATCAGGAATAGGATGGAATAAAAAAGATCAAAATGTTTCTTTTTTTGCAGGTTGGTATTACATGGCTATTAGCTCCAAATTGAAGGTTCATTTGTTCACTTAACAAATATTAACTGAACACCTATCATGTTCCAGGCACTGTGCTAGGCACTGGGGGGTACAGCAATGACCAACACAGAATCTGGGAATACCAAGATAAAGGACTTGGTAATGGTCCTCAAGATATGTGGAGAATTACAATATGGTCTATTGGTCCCTATAAAAGACATGAGCCAAGCACAATGGTGCATGCCTATAGTCCCAGCTACTTGGGAGGCTGAGGCAGGAGGATCACTTGAGCCCAGGAGTTAAGCCTAGTCTGGGCAACACGGTGAGACCCCATCTCTCAAAAAAGACAGACAGATGGAGAGAGATACAAAGTACAGTGGAAACAGGGACAAAGAGTATCTAAGCCTGCCAGAAGGAAGTCAGAGAAGGTTATACAGAAAAGACAACATTTGTCATGGGACCTAAAGGACAATTTCCTCTAAAATTTTTCTGTCAGGTGGAGAATTTGAGGGAGAGTGTTCTTGGCAGAGGGAATAGCACAAATAAAGGTGAGGGTCAAAAAACAACCATAGGTAATTTGGTATTATAAAGAATATAAACTAGGAAGTGGTGAGAGATGAAGCTCTACAGGTGGGCAGGCACCTATGTGCCATGAGAAGTTTGAGTTGTATTCTACAGGCCAGGGTTTAATTGGAGATCCATGGGTGATGGGTTTCGGGGAATCCAGGAACCCCACAAAACTGTATGAAAAGTTCTGCGGGCATGGACATTTCTTTTGAGAGAAGGTCCACAGCTTTCATTTGATTCTTAAAGGGGTCTGTGACCCCCTCCAAAAAGAAAAGTTGCAGACAACGAAGAATCCCTGAAGAATTTAGCGGGCAGAGGGA